TATATACGACTATATACTACCATAGGGAGAAACGATAACAATGGAAAGGGTTAGAAATAATACCTTAAGGCGAAAATACTGCCGCTAAGGGGAAATTTTTAATTCATCACAAACAGGGCTAGTAAAAAGCTAGTGAGAAAACCTGTAAGCCCAATGTTTGGGTGATGTATTGTATGTAGTCATCACCAGAGCATGTGGTGGAGGAGAAATCTCTTATCTTATTGGTTAACATGTGATTTGGAGGCATGGCTTCTTTGATGGACTCACCCAGCTAGGCGCGACTGGCTAATTTTAAACTTTAACTTTGTTTACGCAGCGAGTTCACGAAAGTCAAACATGGAGTCTGAAAATTGGTAGAAATTTTAACGAACTTTCAACAGAAAAGAACATTGAAATGAGTGCATACTATTGTCTAATTCAAATTAACTTCATGTAGGTAAATAAAGTTCTTTGTAGGCCTGTTGCGCTATTTATTAGTTGGCGGTTTTTTTTAATTAATTTTTGTACACCACTGATTGAAGTAGCCGGCGAAAACAATGTAGTAGCCGATCGAATGCGCCAGTCGCCGGCTCCTAAATAAACCACTGAACTAGGCCTAGCTTGGCTCCAATGACGCTATGTTTTGAATTGACTGTGGCATTGGAGCAAATCGAGTCTCACTTGGCTGGGGGCCAGTGGGCCGCCTAGGGCCCCCAGTGGGGGTCCAGGGGGATTTGCGCCCCCCCATGGATATTTGATGAATTATGGCAAACACAAATCCTCATTCTTGAAAGTGAAAATGAGCATTTGTCATAACAGAACGCAAATTATTTTTAATAGTGTCATTAAATTATTATTATTATTATTATAGCCCCCCCAGCCCCCTCTGGCACCACCACTGAACAGAATAGTACACTATTTGAAATCATCATGAGTAGACAACTAAAAAGCTGGTACTCTACTGTACTTATTTTGCAATTTTAATAAGGAATTGTTTAATAAGAATGAATTTCTTTTTTTTTAGGTAATAAACCAATGTGTTTTTAATAACCAGCCCTACATATCTGTATATTTTCTCATAAGTACATTTTGCTAGTTTATAAAGAAATGTTAAAATTTGACATTCTCTACTTTAGTTTGACACAGAGGATCAATTTAATTACAAATTTGATCCCCATAATTATATATATACAGTACAGGTACTGTATATAGAATGTACTCAATTACTGTACAAATTATCTGTGTTTAATATGAATTATGAAATATTTTGCAATAGATTGCATGGCTACATTGATCAAATTGATATTGGATATCATCACACAAATACGTAATGAATGTGGACAATACGTAACCATGGCAACTGGCACAATACCTGCCAAGTTTCATAATAGTGCAATAAGGAAGAACAATTTCATAATTACGTTGTATTTTTATGACAATAAAGTTATTTGTATCTGTACCTGTAGCTGGATTACCAATAACAAATTAAATTTGACATCCAAAAAAATAATACTTTCTTTTATCAGTTTTTTTTATTTGTATGATGAATACACAGAATTATAATACTTTGTGTGTGTGTTGATTGGTCATCAGAATTTAGCTTACCGGTTTCAGTTGAGGATAATGCCTTTGGGGATGGTTTGGACCTGACAAATCAAATGCATCTTCAAGTCTCTTCACTTCCATGTAGTATTTTCTAAAAAACAATGTTATTAAAATCATAAAATGCATCATGTTAGCTTTTATGTGCTTCATAGGCCTAGGCCACCATGAACAGAAAAAAAGAACACATTGGCTAAAGTTAGAAGTGATACTGTAGAATTAAAGTTACAGTAGGGAGGAGGGAATCACACTGTGATTATTGGAGGCCATGTAAAGATGAAAAATTATGTATGCAGTACATGAATATCTCCATAATATGATGACCAGGTTGCTAATACATAAAAGCTTCAATCTTTAAAGCCCCATTCCCGGCATAATCACTTTTTAAGAAAAATCTGAATTTCATGTTACAGTAGAAGGATTTCTAAATATACAGTATACGAAATTGCTAGTTTAACTGAATTCAAACATGAAAAAAACTTTAAAAACAAAAATTCAAAAACTTTATTTTTTTTTATGTTCCACACAAATTTATAACATAGATGAACTTTTTATTTTTGACTTTGCGAGATTTTAAGATAATTATTATTTGCTTTTTTCGATGGGTCTAATCTATGGTGAAGAAATATAGCAAGACATTAAGTCTTGCAACACCGCTAGGTAGGCCTAGTCTTACCTCCATTTTAGGTTCTGTTATCAGACAGCCAACATAATATTTCTGTTCCTACAGTAGTATTGACACTTGTGAAATAAAATATTTTATTTGAATTTAGGAATGATTCTAACCGAGATTTTGGGTCATTCCGTGCCAACAATTTTTAGAAAATCATGGCTAGGTACCGTTACAGATTTTCTTGAAACTCGGATATAATGTGCACGAACATGTCTGACGAACAAACCCAAAATTTGACTTGCCAATTCCAAGTCGTTTAGAAGTTACGGCCATTTGAAATTTTAGGGTCATACCCCTTTCTAGCTCTCAATTATGGCATATTTGTAAAGTTGCATTTTCAATTAGCCATATCTTTAAATAGAACAAAGATAATTAACTGAAAATTGATATTTAAACTAACTTAACAGGAATATGACATGACTTTTGGTATACCGGACCCTGTTACGAAAATATTGGTTCTAGTCTATACTAGGCCTAGTACTGTACAAACAAATAATACCCTTTTTTACACTGCCAGAGTAAACACATGTGATACTGGATGCATTTCCATTTACATCCAACGAAAATGTCTGTGTTGATCTCGAGTTACACACATTTTACGTTGGCAATGAAAGCCGGTTCAAATACCACCCTCAAGTTTTATTGCGATGTTGATCATTACTTTTTCAATTTGTGATGGAGCTGCAATTATTGATATTGAAGTAATGTATCTGCAGATTTAAAAACAAAATGACACTTGGTACCTGGTTGGTTATCCTCCTACAGTAGTATCCCAGTGAGGGATTTAAATAGAAGGCGTGGAGAGAATGGTCGGTCTTGACGGTTCCCGGAACGCCGCCCTCAGCGGCGAGTGCGAAGCACAACTCAGGGTCGAAAGTAGAACGTGAAATTTGGATATGGTTTCGTAGTCAGATTTGTGAGAAAAACTTCAGCTACCCGTATTTCTCGACTGAGATGCTAGTGGGATCTGTAATTTGTATGGCAAGGAGATTGTGCAACCCTTCATTCGTATTAAGGGAATTTACGCCCAGAAACTTATTTAACTTATAGTTATTAATATTTTGGTTATAATAGAAAATATTCATTTTTTGGTGACGTCACACTCACATTAGTTAGCATGCATACGTCATAAGCTAGATAGATCACCTTTTTCTGGTAAGGCAAACTTTCCCGGCGTGCTTTTTTCATGGATTTAAACAAACACCACTGCTTTGCACATGGATGCCTTGCCCAAGCCAAGGCTAAAAGAGCCGCATTGTTAGCATTGTATAATACTTTTAAACAAGGTACCTCTGCAAATGAATTATTCTTAGTTATTTTTTTTTCTTATTTTAATTTATTTCTTACGAAAGTGTACATATAATTCCACTGTCTTAGTTAGGCCTAGGCCTAGTCTTATGCCTCATCGTCCCCTGCTACACAGTACATCAGCAGCCCCTCCCCATACAGTACAGACGTTTGATAGGTAACAACGTGATTGCACCTTCCTTCCCAGGTGTTCATGTAACATTGACATAATTGTTAGCTAACCAGTTGTGTGTATTTCTTCGTGAAAATGAGTACCGCGGCGTACTCATTTTCACAAAGCATTTGCATCCCCTCTTGGAAAGAGGGATTCGAAATAATTGTCTCCATATCTTCGCTAATTAAATTAATCACCATAATTTAGCTTACACTTATGAATTTAGGGAGCACTTAAAATGTGAAATAATCATTTCACTACCCGACAAACTCCGAAGCCTACCTAATAGTTTCAAATTGCTGTACTATATACTCCAACATCATTGGTGCATGGTAACAACCAACTGACTGCAGACCATTTCCGGTCACACATTACTCTCCATAACACAGCACCCCCTAGTTCCGTCACCTCTGGGTGGTCGAAGGCCTATAGTAGGGAGGCCTATAACTATATGTTGGGTTCAACTTTCAGCACTCGAAATTAGCGTCGGCTCAAGTCGCGGTGCTCACCCCACCACCCACCTACGTACATAGTACTACCTATGGATACCAGCAACTCCCTGCTGCAGTGCTAGGTATACCTAGCCCAGCTAGCTAGATACAATACCGATAGAGGGCGCTATAGATCGGCAATACAAACATCGCGATAGAAAATAGTGCCCCGACGGAGATAGGATATCCAATGTATTAATTGGGTATTTCGCGGAAGTATACAACAATTTGACCGAATTACTTCCAGGGCAATTCCATAATGTCGGACGTACATTTCAGACATTTTAGGGATGTTTTTCAACATAAACTTCTAGGTGTATCATTTTGTTTTGCTGTTAAGCATATATATACCAGTTACTATTTCATTAAAAAAAAAAAGAAATTTTTTTGATTGCTATGGTTACAGTTTTTGGTTAACATGTTTTAACATGTTTGTTTTCTTCAGTTTTTAAACTATTAAGATAAGTAAGTTTTAAATAATATTTGTGTGCATATTAATTGAATTAGATGTCATAAAATTCTATTTTCTTATCACGTACCGCAGCTAGGCTCGGCTCGTATGAATAGAGGGCGCCCTCATTAATTTGCAGTGGTTACACGCAGGGTAAACAAAGTTTTCCCCGCTGACCACCGTGTTGTCTGAGGCCTGCAATTAGGCCTAGAGTTATGCAATTCAATATAATTTATTATACGTAGAATCTAAGTTGATAACAATCATTAATATAAATAGGCTATATATATACTAAAATACTAAATTATAATCGTTAGTAATTGTCAAGTATTATTTTAACATGGTCTAAAATGCTACATAATTATACTGTAAGGGACACACTTCTTGTATTATAATAAAAACAGTCAATAGGATAGGTAGGAATTAACTCCAGCAAAAAACATATTTAAAATAGCAATATCTTCGCTAATATTGGTCCGATTTACATAATTTTTGTTTTAAAATGCTTCATTCAGTTCTTTCTTTCTATTAATAATAATTTTAAAAAAATATTTGGGACATTTCAATTTTTTTTGTTTCTAGCTAGCCTAGGCTAAGGCCTAGCCTAGGAAGGCCTGCCTAATAAAAAAGGCCAGGCTATGCTAGCTAGGCTCTACTACTACTACTAGGGCCTAGGGCCTGCCTAGCCTTTGTCAAAGACTCAAATAAATGACTTAAAATGTACATACAATTTTTTTGCAGTTGACTTAATCACATCTTGGGACGACATCTTGATTGATAATCTGCCAAAACAACAAATCTAAGCACGTTAAAATATACGCCTACTACTAGCACTACTAGGCTACACGCTCGATATCACCCAATTTAACTTCCATGCCTACTGCGCGAACAAATCAAAACAACAAAGTATGCCGACGACGCTGTGGACCGTAGTTAAGGCCATACAACTAACACAAAGTCCAACCCATGCATAAAAATAGTCTATTTTCGGAATTTCATTTTAAAATAAATTTAAACATAATTTTAAAAAAGTATACAAATAAACATTTAAATGTATTATTTACTCTTTACAGAATAAAATTAATTGTTTAAAAAGCTATTTGACATCTTAATTAATGTATGCAAATTAGCAGGCTACAAAATATGAATTACTACGCGCGACTTAGTAACTAAGGAAATATGAGGGCGTCCTATTTAGTGGAGATTTTGAACAAACGCGAGTACGAGTAGGCCCGAGCCTAGGCCACGACGATAAAAAAAATGTCAGCGTCGATGATTGGAAGAAAGTTGCCGATTGAAAGTTTTCGGAACGAAATAATTCGTTCTTTCACAAAATCGCGTGCGATTGTTATTGTGGGACAGACTGGAAGTGGTAAAACTACTCAGTTGCCACAATTTCTTCATGAATGTGGTAGGCCGATCCATGGATATAATAATAGTAGTAATACGGTAATACTAGTACTAGGCTAGGCCTAGGGCCTACCCTAGCCTAGGCCTATTTCAAAAAGGCTAGGATTGAGGCTAGCTAGGCAAGGTCGTGGCCTAGCCCTCTCTAACCTTGGTAGGCCTAGGCCAGGGAGTGCTTGTTTGCCTTTTAATACTCAACTTGGTCTAAGCGAAGACAGTTTTATAGCAATGGTCTTAGCGGAGTGATTTTAGTAAGATCGTCTAAGTAAGTGATAAAGCCAGCTTTATTCGAGAAGTTAAGACTACCAGTTAAGACCGTTTTATAGCAATCCGCCGCTAGGGCCTAGTTTTAGTTTAACTGAAGACATCTGGCAAGCCCTGAATATCAAACTAACCAATGAATAGGGCTAACTTTAATAGCAGATGAAATTTTAGAGGTCCGGTAACGCGGATGAATATTAAGCTGCTGTCTTTTTTAGTTTTTTTAGAAAAACGTATTTCCTCATAATTCATAATAGATCATCAATCAGTTAAAGCCCCATTCCCGGCAAAATTTCACTAAAAATGACTTTTTTTAGAAAATATGCATTTGTATTACTCCAATTATTATAAATCATGGAAAAATATTGGCATGAATTTTAGTTTTACGCAAAA